ATGATGTATTAGGATTATCCTATAGTGAGAGGTGAGAATTTTTTTTTTTATTTTGGTACCAAAACGTAGCATAATTAATTTTTTTATAGATGGCGAAAAGTGAACCGATCTGCTAAAATTGGTCTTACAAATAATAAGGCGAATTCTAAAATCAACAATTTATTGAAAAATCTATTTGATGAATTGGGAGAAAAATTTTTATCAGATGAATCTCGCACAATAAAAATGACAAAGGAATGATATTATTACAGCTATATCAACTATTTTAAATACATGATGGTGGAGGTTCTTTTCATAATAATAATATTAATATTGTATGGTATTAACGTAATGATATATTGTTAAGACGAGTTATATTTTTTACTTATATACCATTGTTTTTTTCAGTAGTATAGCAGAGGTATAATATAAATTAGAAATCATTGTTTTTTTTTTTCAGCAGTATAACAATAATAATAATGGTGGAGAACATTTCATTATAATAATAATATTGTATGATTTTAACGTAACGATATACTGTTAAGATAAGATTATATAGTATTACAATAAAATATTTTAAATTAGAAATCATTGTTTTTTTTAGTAGTATAGTAAAGGTATATAATAATAATAATATTAATGTTTATTCACGTGTGAAGAAAGTTAACTAGACTCAAACATTACCCACATAAACCGCATAAACACAGATCACGCAGCGTATAGAATACAACTAACCACAGGGTTTCATTGACGCGGTGTGTCTTGTTCAATGAATCGTAGTAATTTTTTTGTGTAATGGTTGCTATGACTCAAATGATTATATTTATTACAAGGCGAAACTGTTTCACTAAAAAGTAAGTGGGATTTTTTTTTTACTATCAAACTTAGTGTATGAGTAAGAGCTGTTAGTTCAAAATGGACAGCGATTCCTATCCATCGTCTGCTAGAACGGTGAGGCGTTGCAAACGACGGCGGCGACCGCGTAAAATCCGAACACAACGGCGACGGATAGGTTCTTACACATCTCTTGAGACTGATACTACCGCATCGCGAAGTCGATCGGTAAGTGTTAATTCCAGTTCTAGTTTTTTTCATTATCACCCCTACGTCAACGGTCGCTCTCGTCGACTTCATATTCTCCTTGGAGCTCGAGTAGCGACGTAAAGTCTTTTCATAGTAAATCAACACTGTGGTTGGAATGTAAGTTTTTTTTATTTAACCCATCGTTTCACACAGAGCACATTTTAAGGTTTTTTTTTGTACTATACAATTTTTTTAAAAAATAAACTTATAGTTTTTTTATTTTTTTTTATTTTCTAATAATAGTAATTACAAAAAAAAAAACATATTATCAATTAGTAGTGAGTAAAAAGATACATATTTCTTTGAATGATTCAATGTTCTGAGTTTAACTAGTAATTAATAATAATGGAAAAAGTTTAGCAATCGTGTTCTTCAATATAGGTTTACCAACGATGGGTTAATAAATGAATATTAACATTTTTTTTTTTTTTACAAAATAAGTAACGTACTTTTTAGCTTCGATGCAAAGCGAGAAGGTATTGGTTTTACTCTGATGTATGTTTTTTTTTTATCTGTATACACTGTAACTTCTTTAATACTGGACCAATTCCTTCGAATAGCAACTCTATAAATCGCAATTTTCATCTAGTTGGTACTTTGGGGGGGTAAAAGTTGAAAAAGTTTAACTCTTCACAGGCGAAAGTTGAAAAAACAAAAAAAAAAACCGTACGAGTTTTTAAGTTAGAACTTTTACTGGCTATAGCTTCGATAAAAAGAGTCGGATCGAGTTGAAATTTATAAGAAATATTTATTTAGTATGCCCGCGCACGTCAGTTATATCAAATTTGAATTTAACCCAATGCCCACCCCCCTAGGGGGGGTACAGGTTTTTTTGTTTTTCGGGGTTTTTAGCCGTAATTTTAAGACCTTTGGGTTGAAAATTTGCCAGCAGTTGGAACTCATATGTATCCATAACATATTAAACGGAAAAATAATTCGGCACTACAGTTTTTTTTTAATAGCCGGAAAACTGTGTTTTCGCAGATTGCGTATATTTTAACAAAAAACACTTAAAATCTTAAAAAAATTGTTATCAAATCATTAAAACAATTTTATGTAGATCTATGCAGAATGATACTATTGAGTTTTGTGCTCAAGTAACACTTTTGACTTTAAGTTGACACAAAGTTCAATTTTTTTTTTTTTTTTTTTTTAAGTACAAACGCACTCTACCAGATGTGAGAAACGAAAAAAAAAAGTATAATTTTTTGTTCCATTGGCATCATCGTGTGTACGAACGGCATATTGATGCGCGCTCTTATCTGCTCCGTAATGAATTATGAAATCAGTTATGATAGAAAATATTGTATGTCGTTTCAAATAGTATTTTTAAATCTCTACAAAAACGCTAGTTTTTATTCTGGTTGTAACTTGTATTGCGCTGTATAAAACTTTTATGACGTAGTTGATGTTTATTTTATCAATTTTCATTATTTAATAAAAAACAATTTGTCAACAGAATATAACTAACTGGGTGTGGATTTTATTAAGTCACAGTTGATATAAAATCGATTTGGACTTGAACTTTTTGCGGAATGACTGAATTTAATTTAAGAAACTAATTTAATTTTAATTGGCAGCCATTACGTGAGAAATGATAACATGAGTTGTTTATACTATAGTGTATAGTTGTAATTATCAATTTTCGAGACAAAATAATATTTGATCGTGACCATATAAACGCCCGATCGCGTTATCAACTGTCCACCGTCTTATGTACACGGTACAGGTGGGAACGAAAAACCCCTTATCGGCCCGAGCCGGTCATGGAGTGTGAGAGAGAGGTCGGGGGGTGATGACATTTGTAGGTAGTTGCCAGTCAGTATTCGATAATTCGATTATCAGTTATTGATTTAAAATTGATCCGGAGTGTCAATCCGCTGTCGTTCCGAGTATTATTATTTTTATTTACATATTGTAAAAAATATTTAATTATAAAAAAATATTTTCTTTACATAATTTTCGGTGTTAAATTTCCACCTTCGTATAAAACCACCTGCACACCGTCTTAATTGCTGGGAGTGTTTGCCGAGATTCAGCTTGGTAAGTGACTTGTTATTTAGTATTTAGTAGCTTCAGTATTGCTGATTCGATTAAATTTATATTATTATTTATTTATATTTATCCGTATGTTACCTTATGACAGAAGTCAGAACTAAGTTGGTGTTAGAAACATCTGTCATGATTTATGTCTTGTATGCTAGGTATAGGTTAGGGAAGTAACGTATTAAACCTCAAAACTGTATGTTTATACGTACACAGTGTAGGTAATAACATGGTTGAAATGTAGAGGTTATTATTGCACATCGTCTCTAATTGTTATCTTTATGCATTACATTACAGTTACATATTGTTTATTATTAGTCAATGTAAAATGCAATTTTCCAGATACTATTTTTTAATATTTCAAACAAATTTGTATGATTTAATGAATTTTTTTTGTTTACATTACTAAGATTTATAACTCAGTAGTGTTTTTGTCATTTTTTTGAGCTTTTGGTTTTTATAAATAACATTGCTATGTTTAGTATTATTGAAAGAATAGTTTCATTTAAGAAATTTACAAAAAAAGGTACTTTTGTGTACTGTAATTTTTTGGGGGATTACTTGACAATAAAGAAATTAATCTATGTAATAAGTTGTTGTTGTTTTGTAAATGTTACAGGTAAATATTAACATTTATGTAAGCTTTTCATTTTATACTCGTGTGCAACTTTTTGTTATGATAACTTTGTTATATACCTGCAATTATTGTTATTAATACTATCATAAATTATGTTTGACGGTATGCTTCTATTATAAATGGGTATGTATTTTAATTTTTATGGACATGTTTTTGATGACGTTAAAAAAATTATTTGCATTAGTATAAAAATGTGTATTTAAGTCAAGAAAATTACAATAATAATATCAGGACTTCTATTAATCTAATATATGTGCTTTATAAATACATGGAAATTGTTGTGTATATGGATTAATCATATTGTTATGTGGTGTAATAAAGTTGTTTGACGTCTAGAGTTGTATTTCATGTGTCATAGTTAATTTTTAATTTTTAATTTTAGGCATATTTTTTTTTTAAATTCATTAAGTTAACGTGGGAAGGAAAAGTAAACGAGCCCTTAAAAGCCTTCAACATATACGGGATTTAAGAGGAAACAAAGAGTATTGCGCTGATGAAAGAGAAAAAGATAAGCAAAGAAAAGGAGTTGTACATTTAAATCCTGCAAAAACATTACATCACAATGTCATAATGTTAAAAAACCAGTACAGTGGGGTCGGTGCATAGTGGGGACGGAGCATAGTTGGGTCGGGGCATAGTGGTGACGGGGAGGTCACAGGTTTACAGGATTTTTTAAATCTGAAAGTGATAAAATCACTTTCGAAAAAACGCTTCGATGCAAATCGGTAGTTAGTATTTTCAAGCCAGTACAGTCCAAACCAAGCACAGTATAAACCAGCAAAGTTAGAAAGTTTTAAATTAAGGTTCTGTATTTACAAATGAACATCAAAGCGTTTATTTGAAAGTGATTTTATCCGAGAGGACTAGTACAGTAGAGTATTGGCATAATGTAATCAAAGCAATGAGGAAACGGAGAGGTCACAGGTCTACAAGAATTATTATAAATAAAAGTGATAAAATTGAATAAAATCGCTTTCAAATAAACGCTTTGATGCTCATTTGTAAATACAGAACCTTAATTTAAAACTTTCTAACTTTGCTGGTTTATACTGTGCTTGGTTTGGACTGTACTGGCTTGAAAATACTAACTACCGATTTGCATCGAAGCGTTTTTTCGAAAGTGATTTTATCACTTTCAGATTTAAAAAATCCTGTAAACCTGTGACCTCCCCGTCACCACTATGCCCCGACCCAACTATGCTCCGTCCCCACTATGCACCGACCCCACTGTACTGGTTTTTTATTTAGCGGATACAGATGACGAACATGGAATTGGAAATTGGTCTACATCAGAACCATCAATAATTTCGCTAGCAGATTCATGTAAGTTAATTTTTTTTTTATTTGAAATAAAATAATATTTTCTTCTTTTTTTTTTTAAAAAAAAAAGGGTCATCAACAGATGTTACTTATGAATCGGATGCAGACGTGTTACCTCCACTTCTGCGTCTTAATCAGCCAGCTATTGAAACCATTTGGCTAACTGATTCGGATTAATATGTAAGTTAGTTTAATTTTTTTAATTATTGTTGAATTAATATTATACTGTTTTTTTTTTAGGGTTTTTAGGGAGGTATTTATTATTGTTGAAAACATGAACGTTAGAGATCACTGCAAGCTGATTTTAAATTAGTAAAATAAAAAAATATTTCAATATATTTTTTTTTTTAAAGGTTAACAGATAGAGTTGTTGGAAATTATTGTCATGTGTACTCTACGCTATGAGACTTAAATGTGAGTAATTATATAATATATATATATATATATAACACAATTGATTAGTTAATAGAATGTTTATTAAACACTTTTTTAAATTCACAATACAATTACATTATTTAATAAGATTAATAATACTTTAAAAATAATCCTCGTTCACTCAGATTTTGTTGAATTTTTTATTCTGTAAGCGCTTGGATCGACGAGCATCTGGCGTTTTCACAATTAATACTGAAATATCATTTTCTAAGTTTTGATTAATTATTTTAACACTATTTTTGGTTGCTTCAATAATTATATATTTTAACAAACGACACTTTCGACAGGAGCAGCATTCTAAATGTGAAGGCATTATTATACCTTCTTGTAAGACGGCTATTTCTAAACTAAAACGAGTGAAATATTTTTTTAAATAATTAGCTTGTATACGTTTTCCCTCTCTCAATACATATATTTTTTTTCCTTTTCGAAATTATACTATAGTTACTAGAAGTTCTCGCATAATCAAATTTATAATTTGATCATAATTAATTTTTAATTCATGGATGAATAGCGCATTTGTATCCGTTGCAAACATTTGAAAATCATAGTTTGCGACAAAAGCCGTTATGAAATCGATACGTCGACATTCACTTGAAAAATTATTAACATCATTAAGTATAGCTGAATATATATCGTTAAAAGATTTTTGATACAACTCCAACTTATTTAAGCGTTCAGTTATATGTGCTTCAATACAATTTGAAATCATCTGAAGTGTTAACAAATTTATACGCGTCAATTTCATACGTTCATTTTTATTACGTAATATCACTGAATCTGTTTTAGGGTTAGTAGTACAACTAAAATCTGAACCTAATTGTATTCGCTTTGCATTGTTTTGAATTGTGTTCACAATGTTGTTGAATATTTGAAATTCCATCAGAGTACGCCACTGTTTTTCATCAAGAATTAGCTGGTCTTGACTATTTTTATAATCTAAATAAACAATAATAGATAATTTTTTATTTAAAAGAATACCTACCGAGATAGTTCTCTTGGGGTCAATGGTGAACGTAGATTTAGATAACACATTTGCCATTTTGTTTAAATAAAATTTTAGCATGCACATAAACGTCCGTACAACTTAACTCTATATTAACTACTTATATCTTTAGCATAAAGATGACGTATATATATATACAAACCTTGAGTATAAAGTAACCTTGAATATAAGTACATACCCCCTCTTCTACTTATTCCAGTGTAATTGACCAAATGGGTTGTGCAATTTTTAGATTCTTTACATTTTGTAATTCTTTTGTCTGGTGTAGAACTTCTTCAAAAGATTCCTCAAGTTTTGTTTTAGATGTAGATTTTTCTATATTTGAATGTTCAATTTTGTCTAATTTAATTATAAAATTATAAATAGCTTCTAGTAGACTACATTTAATACAAGGCATTGTGCTTGGAATAATACTTTTAACATCGACTGTACTACTATACGAAACTCTATGTACTAAACACTTGAAAAACATTTGATTAACTATATTAGCCCCCCCCCCTCTTCTTACCGCTATATTTTATTTTTTAAATTGGAAAAAAAAAATGCAAAAAGTGTAGACGCAGTGACGGAATGAATTAAAGTATGACTCAACCTCAACCTACCTAGCCTAGCATGAGTGCTATCAATCCACATCCTATTAAATTTATCCTAGAAAGTCACGCCTTAACCTACTACGCCACTGCGTCTACAATGTGAATTCATGGTTTTACTAGTATTTAAAGAGTTAATTTAAATGTAAGAATGTTGTAATAAATTAACATCTTTTTTTTATTTAATAGGTTTTAAAATCAATGAGGTGAACCCTTCACTAACCGAAGATAACCACAATCTGGAGACCATCTTGCATGCTCGATCCAAGGTTCGTCGTTCGGCTCCCAAGATCTCAGACCTTGACGACAATAAAAACATGAGACATCATCATTTGATCCATCACCAATATAAATAAAACCGGCTTCACTCATAAGTTCTCGCTTTGAAATAAGTAGTGTATTACTACATTTATCAAAAGTCTTGTTACGCGTTTTACAATCTAAATAGTCTAATGTACAAAAAACATCACATTCACTATTATAATCATCCATTATTATACTGTTTAAATTGAATTAAAATGACTATCATTTATTTGAAACATGTTTTTATATATGATTTATTTCTTCCACTTCTTATTTAGTAAAACACTCAATGTTACAAATAATTTTCTATACTAAACAATATATAAGGTTAAACTATAATTTGTAAAAATGGGCGGTAAAGCCCCAAATTACTACTACTGGCTGGGTCTCAATGTTCCAATCATATAAGGACGAAATTTGTTGAAAAGAACCCAATTGCCTCCAGATCCTGATAGAGAAGCTCGTCTTATTAAGCTTATAGATGCAATGGATAAATTCAAACCACTTAGACTTTTGCCAACTGAACGAGGTTGGTCTGGCCTGGTTGTTGCATTGGTGCACCTGACCCTATAAATGAATATCAATTTGAGGGTTTTGGTACAAAAGTATTAGAATTTAAAACTTTTCTGTATGAAAGCAAACGCTGGCCGTTATAGAAGAATAAGCGTAGTTGCTGTTACTGAAAATGGTCTTGCTGGTTTTGCAATATAAGTAATTGGTATATTAAGCTTTTGTGTAATTTGTGCTTGTTTTTTGTGCGTATAGGGGTAGGGTGGGAGAGGGTTGGGGTTGGGGACAGGAGATAGGGGTGAGATATAGGGGTAGGGGATAGGAGTGAGTGATAGGGGTAAGATATAGGAGATAAGAGATATGTTGTACGTTCAACGTTCAAATTAGAACTAAATAATAAATTCAATACAGTTTAATTCTCTATGTTAAGTTACTTTTGGCCAGATAATAAACACTACAATTTTAGCCAGAAACTTGATTGTACATAATTTTTTTATCTCCTTGGCCTTATGCTGTAACTGGAAGCTCCATATAATTTTTTTTTTAAATTATTAATCCACAACTAATTTAAATTTATTCGGTATTTCAACGAGACATGAATATGCTCTTTCGTGGTTGCAGACTCGGCTGAAAAACTTTTTTATTTATATTTTCAAGTGTCATATTTAAGGTGTAAGATCCAGCTAAGCGGGTAAGCTTGGTAAGGTATTTATTTTTAAAGCCAGATTTAAAGAAGAATTTTGGTTTTTTTACAGTATTTGATCTATTGATGGTTTGATGGACAAAAATTACTTGACTACCAGATAAATAGGTGGTTTGGAGTCGTTGAAAATTTAAATAACACAATGGTTATTTAATCAAATCTGAAATATTATATTCAAAAAAATGTTTATAGTTTTTAACGATTTATTTTTTTAGCTTCGATGCGACCAACGATGCTATTGGTTTTATAATGTTATAGGTTTTTTTGTGTCTGTATACAATGAGTAACAACTCTGAAAACCACAAATGTTATCTGTTTGGTACTTGAGGGGGAGGGGGCAAAATTGAAATAGTTTATATCTTCACCCTTAAAATTTACTATACGTGTTTTAAATTTCCAAATGTAGAAGCTAGGGTAGGAGGTAAAAGTTGAAAAAGGGTTTTTAAGCGTTTTTATGGAAACCCCAGTATGAAATTTACACATTATATGTAGAATTTCCTCAGCTTTCTGAAATAATTATCAGTATTTTTTCCAAAAATCTAATACTATTTTACATAAGAAACTGATTTTTGACGAACTAATATACTTTAAAAAAATTATAAAAAATTAGTGTCAAGAAAAAAACTAAAAACACTTTCTACGACCATATGACCAAAATAATCGAAAAAAAAAACCCAACAAATTTTGAGAACATTATTTTTGTTGTAACAGATGCAGTGTAATTTTCAAAAAAAAATCCGCGGGGAGTCACCCTAAATATTTGTTCGTATTTTGCATACGTCCCATTTTTTCAAATATTTAAAAAAAATGTTGGGGCGATAATATGCCTAAAGTCTATATAGTATTTGTGATATTCATCTATCCATATATTCAAAGAACGAATCATGATCAAAACCTTAATATTTATATATAAATAACGATGTACTCACAGCGTGTCAATAGATAATTGTTTAAGGATGGGGAACATTTGAAAAAATGTTACTTTTTTATAGAAAAAACCCCAAAACATTTTTTTTGTATAAAAAAAATAGCTTAAAAAAATGTACATATTTTATTCCTCCTTGTAATTATTTTATCTCCTTGGCTTTATGATGTAACGAGAAGCTCTATGTAATTTTTTTTTACATTTTGTTGATTTCATTAACTGGCTACTACTTTCCACGTTTCTTCGTAATTAGATGTTGTTATTTTATATAAATGTTTTGCATTCAACACAATATACATGAGAATTCTACTGCGTGGATGGAATTTAAAATCACTTGAAGACATTTGTATTATTTACCGAATCGAAAAACAGGAAAAGGGTTCATACTCGTAGGCCCGGAGGTATGCATTTATGTTTGTTTTAGGTACATTATTTTTGTTGTAATGTTAGTAGTATTTTTTTTTTATATAACACAACAAACCTTTAATCAATTAATTTGACATTTATAAATTTAAAAATTATATTATTTATCAAATTTACCTAACCTAACCTAACCGATTTCTTTTTAAACTCACCTAAATTGGCATCGACGGAGGCGTTACAAATGGTTCTTAATCATAGCCTTGTAAACCTCCAACAGTGTATAACGGTCACAATTAAACGTGCCACCCAAGTATACCTGTATTTATAAACTCCACTTACCTTAATACCACTACAATCGTGGTAAACCACTCGCAGGAGTCCTTCTGAACGTTATTTGGGTTATCCGATGCCAATCGCTGTTCGAAATATGGGTTTTCTCTCCTCGTTTCGGAATTAAAA